TTTGACCTTTAGGACAGGTTGCAAGACCTACCTGTTCTCTCAGACTCTGTAAGGCTAAGTACAGATGGTCAAAAACCCTGACGCTGAATTGATTCAATCTTCCCAGCTTAGTCTGAGCTGCATAGATTGAAACAATAAGCAAGCAAACAGACATTCACTTTTGATTCCAGAAAGGCATTTGCATGCCTGCCGTAGCTCAGGCCAGAACCTAGGGGGGTGCTAGAGCATGCCTCCCTGCTCTGCTGGAGCAGACAGCTTGCGCCAAAGCTAGCCCGCCTGCCCACCCTAGGAGGTTTGCAGGGGAGGTGCAAAGCATCTTGGGATGCTGGAGGACTGAGAGTTAACTTGAATTTGGAGGGGATCTGGGACAGAAGTTCCATAAACTGATTTAACCTAAATATTACATCCATCCAGGTTCAACTTAAACCAGTTGCAACCATTTTGAAAGTGGTTTATGTGCACTGAACTTCTGCTGTGTTACAGATTTGATCACTTATACTGGTTTGTGCGTGATTTCTGTCCCTAGCCTAAGTGTTGAAGTTTTACGGACTAGTTGTCTTGACAAGAATTTAAACGTGGTGTTATATGTGAATTATCAGGGAGTATTAACTGTACATGTACCTAAAATAATGGCTAAACAAATGTTATCACTTTGAAATAAATACATAAAAGAAGTCCAATGGAATTTGGCAGGTGGAGTTTCACACAAGGATGGGTGTACCACATTATGCCCCTGAGTCTGACTGACATTTGTAAATAGCCTATATATTATAGCCAATGATTTGCAAACATTTTTGGCGTTATGCCATTGAGGTCTGAAGTGCTGTCAGTTGGCTCACAACCAGATGACCTCTCTTCTTTTCAGTCTCTACACATCCTAGAGTGATATGATGCTATGAACTTTATTTTATATTTGGTATGAAATTGAGTGCACAGCTTGTCATAAAGGAACTGCTGTTGAACATCTACACAATGAAAAAAAGATGGAAAGTTTTACTAATATTTCAAGGTTCACTTCTAAAAAATAGCAATTTGGCAGTGTAAAGGTGCTCAGCCCCATGAGGGCTCAGATCCACATGCAGCTGGTCAGTGGATAATTGTCCTTGTGATTGGGAAGCTGGAGGCCAGCTAGAAGTGATGATGACCAGATAACGAGGGTGGAGCCAGAAAGGGGGTTAAGACCTCTAAGAAAGTACTGAGAGCAGGTTGCTATGCTGGGGAGAAGCCAGAGATATGTTTCCTCTCTCTGGAAAGGAAAGAAGGTTTTGTTCTGTTGTGAATTCAAGGCTGTACTGATGAAAGAAAATTGGTCTTCCATCAGCTACGGATGACACGATGGCCCCAGGACATGACCACTGTATATCACTGCATTGCCCAACTCCTTAATAATACAGCTTCTCAGTGTCCAGGCTAGCAGAGGTAGAGAGCACTTAAGTGGACTTCCTCAAAGACCTAAGCACATGCCACTAGTAGCCCATGCCCTTTAGAGTAACAGCTTTTCCCCACTGCCCACCAACAGAGCTACTCCAGTAGCTCAATCAGCTGAAATCATGCTGAAGCACTCAGGCTAGAAACAGAAACTACACATAAACCAGTATAAGTGATTGGAAACAGATTCAAATCTGTAACACAACAGAAGTTCAACGCACATAAATTGCTTTCAAAATGGCCAAAGCTGGTTTAAGATAAACCTGGATGGATGTAGTATCAGACTTAATGCAACTGGGTTAAATCAGCTTATTGAACTTCTGTCCCAGATCCACTGCAAATTCAAGTTAACTCAGTCCCCCAGCATCCCAGGATGCTTTGCAACTCCCCCGCCCCCCACAGTATTTGTGGGCTAGCCTTGGCCCAAGCTGTCTGCCAAGCAGGAAGGCATGATCTAGAGCCCCCAGGCTTCTGGGCTGAGCCACTGCAGGCACGTGGCTACATTTCCAGAATCAAAAGTGAATGTCTGCTCACTCGTTTATTGGTTCAATCAACAGAGCTTCAAGTAACCTACAAAGATAGAATTTATTCAGCCTTGGGCTTTTTTGATGGTCTGTACTTAGCCTCAAGGTTTAATTCATGCTACTGATGCATTATGCAACAACATAAGTTTCCCTTACCAGTTTTTTAATATAATCAAGCTTAGTAAAATAAAACAAACAACGGAAAGGTCATCTTATTCAATGGATTAATGCGGCAAATCATTAAGTCTAGTTTGTTTGTTTGGAGGTTGTGATTTTTTTTTAGAGGTGTTCAACACCTGTATTTCTAATCTACAATTTTGCCTATGCAAACGATAACATCTCTGCCTAATTTATCATAAGAAGTATCAAGCTTTTATATCTCTCCTCATAGCAGTATGTAAATAGGTTGGTGTGTGACTCAGGCCCCTGCCGTCTTCTGAAAATTCATAGAAAGCCTCCTTGACATTTAATTTTCCAACTGCTTCAAACTGTTATCTTTCAGAAGTACTACTATTCTCTGAATTTAGGTTTTTCAAGACCTCTTGTAACCATTTAAAAGACAGTAGTTCATTATAGTGTTTAAAAGAAGCAGGTTTGGCAGGAGGCTTCTGAAGTAGTTAAAAGCTTTATGACATTAAGATTATGCATTATTATATCCAAGCACACAATTATGACCGTTTCCTATTTCATGTTGTTTGTTGGACAGTACATTTTTAACTGACTCTGTAAAACAGGTCTTCTCAACTGGTGGGGCACATTTCAGAGGCTGATGCTGGAAAGTATTCTACCGATTGGTTAGATACCACTGACTAAGGGGAAAGG